TGCAGGAGTTCGTCCATCCACAGTATCACTACTTGAAGAACGCGTGTTTGCTCTCTTTTTTTCTTCCAGGGAACGTGTTCGTAAATGGAGGTATTTATCAATGGGGTCGTGTTTTGCTCCGGCTTGGAGTCAGCGCGGTTTCAAAGGTATCAGGTCAGATCAAAGGAAGGCTGTTGTAAAGGGTTGGACGGTCAAGGCACCTAGCAAGTAGGGAAGAACACGCATGGGTACAGGCGGACTATCCCCAGGTATGATACTTGCAACCATGGTTGCTTGGGTTCGGCGAAGTGGCTAGTATCCTAGGTCACAACCTATTTACAACCAGGCAAGCTCCCAGGTGGGAGAGTTATAAGTAGCTTGCAACCTACTGTGGGTGGACGAAATCCATTTCGCACCACCTAAGAAACCATGGGAAACCACTGTTCGTTGGTATTTACAGGCAATCAGACCATCCCAGGGCTTCTTAGGTGGTGCAGGATTTAGTCCATCCACGGTAGGTCACCAACCACTTAGTGCAACCTTACTAAGTTGGTTGAACCTTCAAGTACACCATGTCCCGCTGGGTGTGAAGCTTGAGGCGGTTACTGACAACCGGCCTCTGGCGCCTGTTGCTTCACGCCTGTTGCTGCGCGCAGGGTCTCAGAGTCATCTTGCGAGGTCCGTTTGTTTTTTTGTTTAATAGCAGGGGGAAGTTGAAGTTGAGGAGACATTCCAAACAGCGCATGTCTTTGTTGAGGGTACCCGTCCTGGGGGTGTTTAAAACACTATTTTGTGCTATCTTAAGACACCCCTACGTGGAAGCACACTGATCTCTATTCGGTCAGTGTGTTTCAGGAAGAATACTGATTGGGGGAGCTGAAGAACAAGTTCTGCATGCTTCTTGCTGGACGCTCTGAAGCGTCACGATTTTGCAGGAGGCTCTGGAATGGGAAGGACGAGAGTGGAGAGTTACTTGGGTCTCGGCCTACCAACACCGCTACTCTTCGGCAGCGGATCTGAAGGAAGCTGCGAGTGAGAGTTGTACTCGGAGAAGCTGTCTGCAACGAGAGGCGTTCTTTCGGTGGCAGGGCCAGTCGCGCTGTGGGCTTGTTACAGCCGTGACCCCATACGTGTCTTTTTTGGTTGTTTCGCTTGAAAATAGATGGCCCTGGTAGATGATTAAACTACCAAGTAAACCCGGGCCATCTATTTCCCCTACAAGGACACCTATGGTGACCCTGTTGTTCTGGGCTTTTTTTTCATCTTTTTCTTTTTCGGCCCCACACCTGGCTCTCTAGCTATGTAGGCGTCGTTCCCCTGCATGCGGATAAGAGGCTTCCGGACCCCCGCAAGGCTGCTCCAGACTCCGGAGCTTTTTTGTTTTGGAATGTGTTTAATCAGGTTGCCCTTAGTTGGTGGATTGGATTGGTGGTTTGGAGTTGGATTCGAACAGGTTCTTGTAGAGGGTACAAGGGAACCTATCCTTAAGCAATCCAAACCACCAGTCCAAACCACCAATCCAAACCACCAATCAGAGGGACGCTGATTCAAGGTCGATTTCTCCTTTTTTGACACACCGGGGTCTCCTGAATTTCCGCTTTACCCACAAAAAAGTTAAAACCTATTCGATCTGAACAAGCCCAGCCCCGCTAAGATAGATTTCTCCCCGGCTCTCTGGGCACGAAAGCCCACGGCTCTTTGGGCGTGGGTCAAAAAAAACGGTACCCAACTTGGAACTTTGGCTTAAATGGAAACCAGGACGGAAAAAAAGCCCGCGGTGCCCTGGCGGCTAATTTTTTGGTTTCCATCTAAGAAACCCTGGAGAGATGATTCCCCGAGAAAGGTACCCACAAACAATGGTTTAAAGGGTCCTGCCAGTTGAACATACTGTGGATGGACAAAATCCATTTCGCACCATCTAAGAAGTCCTGGAATGGTGTGATTCCCTGTAAGTACCAACAAACCTTGTGGTTTCAACCATGGCTTCTTAGGTGGTGCGAAAGGATTTCACAACCATCCACAGTACCAGAAACAGTTGCCCGTCTCGGACCTGCAAATCCGCGACCAGCTTTTGGAAGCCTGGAATTCTGGCTTAACATCATATCGGAAACCCCAAGGCCCCAAGGCTGCTAGCAGGGCTCCTTGATTTTCCCCTTGAAACATCACCCACACACACCTCTTTGCTGAGCTCTACTTTGCAGGCTCTTCACCTTCGGCTGCGGCGCTCTGGGCGAGCTCGGCTTCGTCTTTCGCTCGGAGGTGATGGTGATGGGTTCACGGGGGTGCCGGGTGGGGGGGGGGGTCCGTTTGGGTTGTTTTGGGGGTCCTTTCAGGTTGGGGGGGTCCCGTTTTTTTTTTTTTTTTTTTTTTTTTTTTTTTTACGAGAGCCGCTATGTTCAGCTTCAGCGAGGATTTTGAAAGCCATGCTCCCGAAATGTGTTCTGGCAAGAAATGGGCAATGGGCTTCAAGAAGAGCAAGGTTGCCCTGGAATCAGGGATTGTGTTGGATGGCGTGAGTGAAGAGTCAACAACCTTTATCGCATATGTCAGGCCTTTTCTATGGAGACCACGAGGGGATGAAGTTCCAAGTTTTCCAGAGGCCCTTCTTTGAACAAGTTCTCAAACCTTTTCAGAGGTGCATTTTGCTTGGATGTTAGGACCTTACCTTCCCTGCCAACGAAGGGGTTTTCCGTATTACACCACTAAAAGTTAGTACACTTTTAGCAGGGGAGCGGAAAGCCGCCGAGTGAAAATGTTTACGGTTCCGCCAACCTCTGAGTGCAACTAGGTGCCCCAGCTAGGTGCCAACTTTTACCGTTTCTTTTTTTGCAGCTTCGGTTGGGTAGAACCCATTGTGGGGGGAAAACCGGAGCTTCGGTCCTCGGTTTTCCTCTTGGCTTCCCTTCTAGGTGCCCCAGTGCCTTTTACCGTTTCTTTCTTTTGGGGAGGGTTCCCCTGCTAAAATAGACTCAAAAGGAAAAACGGGTACCAACTTATTCTAACCTCAAACTACTGGAGGACCTAGGCAACATAGCCCGCATTCTTTCCAGAATAGAGATCAACACTGTGATGGGTAATTGACACCATTTTTACGGCCCCCGATGCATCAGCCGGTTCTCCGCAAGGATTCCCTTGGTGTTTCACTGGCACAAACAATCTGCCCATTCCTGAGAAAACCCTTATTTCTGTCAAAGGAAACACGCAAAAGGAGAACGGTTCCGGAGGCTCCCTGAATTTGTTGCACCCAGCATTGAGATTAAATATTTTTCGTTGGGGAACAGGGGAACTGCCCGTAGTTGCCGGTTACAACTAGACGGCTTGAATTTTCTCGTTTTGATTTTATCTTTCTCTCGTGCGAAGCAAAGGGAATGTCCATTTTCATCCAGGTGCGCATGTTTCGCTGTCAGATTCTCAAGCAGGGCTTCTTTTTGGTAATGGCCTTGAGTGACGTTGTTCCCCACCCAAAGAGGGTCATGTTGCAGGGCTCCCCAAAAGATCTCCATTTTGCCACCATTTGAACCATGTTGCTTTTTCAACACCAACATCAAGTCTTGGAATCCACCAAATAGACAAGTTGCAATGCTCGATCGGTGCTTTTCACGCATCCGGATCCCTGTGGTTCCCTGGAACCCCCAAGCTCGCCCACTCGGGCCGTTGAAGATCCCATTGGCTGAGCTTTGGATCCAGAAGGCCCCAGAGGTCAGCCAGGCCGCCTTTGGAGCAAGTTTTTTGACTTTGAGGCGCAGAAAAATAAATTCAGGTGCCTTGCTACCGGAACCGAAAACCGACACACACACACACACAACACCCGGAATTCCGCCCTTCGCCTTTGGCCTTGTTGCGTTGTTCCCGAAACCGATACACACACACACACACAACATGCATACGACGCGTGCTCCGTATACACCGGCCGCAAAGACGCGAGCGAGCGAGCGAGCGAGCGAGCGAGCGCCGAGGAGCGCGGGGACGACGTCACGTGCCGGTCCGAGGCGGGACCCGTTTCGTGAAAAATGAAAGGGGCTATAAGCTCAGGGGACAATCCGGCCCAGTGATCCGGCCCAGTTACTCTTGATAAGGGACCTTTCCCCATAATTATTTGCGTCTTCCCTTGCACCCACAAAGCGGAATAGCCGCCCCATTTTACTTGGGTGTTCGATTCGCCAAGATAGTCAGTGGAGAACGCCACCTGGGTTCGAAGCCACTTGTAGTGGGGTTCATTTGTGGGTTATAACCCAGGTGGCGAACCACTTACTAACTTGGCCGAACACCCAAGCAGTGATCCGGCCTTTGCGGTATTTGGGTGTGTCCTCTTTTGAGGCTGCCCATTTAAAGGAAGCCAAAACACACCCGTTCGAGTGGGTTGAGACGCCCAGCTAGGTGTGGAACTGAAGGAAGCTTCGGGTGAATTCTGTGAAGGGAATCTGGTCGATGGTCACAACTTCAGGCAAGGACACCTGTCGCTGCCCGAAACCGCCTCCGAAACCAATTTGGGCTCCTGGTGTTGTCTGAAGACAAATATGAGACATGAATCCAAACCACTCTCATGTTGATCCGGGATGGTGACAAGTTCATGACAGGAATCCATCACCAAATTTCAGGGGAAGAGAGGGTTTTCTCCGAATACTAAGAAGATAATGGGACTCACTTTTCAAAGGAACGCCCTTCTAATGGGGACGGCCCCAAAAGGAACCTTTAGGGGCGGCCAGAGAAGTCCAAAAAAGTCGGTCTGGACCGGGTTTCTTCTGGTTTCAGAGGACAAGAGTCTCATCGCCTCATCACAATCATAGTCACAAGAGAAAACATGCCATTTGTCATCAGCACTATACATCCCAATGGACGCCCTCAATCAAAGTCCTAAGGACACTTTTTGTTTGGCTTTGTTGAAAAGTCACACCCATAGCAAAGGCCATGAAACCTTGCCTGGGGTTACTAGAGATGGTGAACCCCTGAGGGAAATTAGACACGGCTGCGCAGCCGGACAGCGATGGCAGGCAACTCAAGTGGAGTTCGACCTGCCCAAGGCACGAGTTCAGAGACGCGTCTGGCAAGATTCTCAAGCCAGCCATCTCTGCTATCCGTGTGTCTTTGCTCGAGGGTACCATGTTGCTTTTGCTTTTGGCGGGAAACCGAAAGGAAAACCACTTTCTTGGGGGGGTCCCCTATGTTAAGCCACACCCCTCTAACACCTACCCAAGAGGACCCCCCAGTTGGATAAAATCCCCTCAACCGACCAATTCACATAATATGTTTTCATCAATTCATAACAGAACCTCAACTCAAGATTTGATACATAAATTTTGTAAATATTTTTCTAAATTCCCAAAATATATTTTTCCAAAATCCCAAATTCCCAAAATACATTTTCCCAAAATCCCAAATCCCAAAATCCCCATAAATCCAAATCATAAATCTTACAATGTTTTTTTATTGTAAGGTTTATGGTGTAATTTATAATTTAAGTTCAGGATAATAATTTAATTGACACATCTCATTTATTTCATACATCATTTTAAAACTAATATTAATATCTCTCACTGTGTTTTTAACATTAAACTTTTTATAAATTTCAATATAAAATTTGATATATTCTTTAATATCATCTCCTTTCTTTTGACTATGACACAACATCCTTAATATATCATAAATCATTTCATATTTTTTATTACTGATTTTAAGAAACTGTTTAACATAAACGTAAGGTGGTAATTTATTTACAGTCAAAAATATCAAAATGTCATCTTCTACATTTCTATTATGTCTTCCTTTTAATCTCAACAAACATTTGATTATAGCTTGGTTATCTCTCCAGGTTTTACAATTTTCACATAAATCTTCTTCACCCAAAGCATAATCAATAATATTATTTATTATTCCATTAGGTAAATTTAATTTATACATTTCCATATTTTCTTTTTTAAAGTGGCAGCAGTCATAGCATTTCTTATTAATATCTTATTGATTTCAATACCGTTCAGTTCTTCACTATTAATATAAGGTGTTTTTTCTTTAGGACTATTTCGCCTAAAACTAAATTATTAATTTAATTCTTTCTATTATTTTGTCACATGTTGTTTCATTATAAAAATTATTTTTTATTTGTTTTCTAAACATTCCCATTATTCCAATCGCACGTTTTATTGTATATCTAAGTTCGTGAGTTTTATACTCATCGTTTAAAAACTCATTTAAAAAATCAAACAATACAACATATTTTAAACGTTTAATATTAAAAGACATATTGTATAATTGTTTTACAATACTATAATACTTAAAAATAAAATCATTATTATATCCTTCGTCGTTACATTCTAATAAATTATCAAATCCTTCTATAGTTAAGACATTATTCATTTCAATAAATACAAATATTTCTAAATCATCATCAATAGTTTCATTATTTATAATATCAATATCCTTGTTATTCATATCATCAATTTTTTTTTATAATTCTATTGCAATTATTGCATATTATATATTGACAAATATTATTACAAACACCATTTGCAAAACCCCGTTCAATTGGTAATTTGAGCATTTCACAGTCTTTACATTTATAACTCATAAACTTGTTTTTCAATATATGTTTAGCATTGATACCGACTGTATCACTCATTCCGCTATAATATATTAAGTTATTATTTCTTCAAGTCATTTTGAAATCATAAATCTTACAATGTTTTTTATTGTAAGGTTTATGGATTAAAATAATGGTCAGGCAATATGTCTTCAAATATGTAATCTACATATTTGTCTATATCACCAATGTATATATATTTGATATTGTCTTTTCCTATTATTGAATAAATATATTCCCAAAAGAATAAATACAACAATAGACATACTTTATATTTAGTGTTGTAGTAATACCATATACTATATTTAGTTGCTCTAAATTCGTTCAAGACTTCGCTTATTTTATCTTTGTCTAATAAGTGCCAGTCAATCCATTCAAACAAATAACGGTATTTTTTGACAAATGCTTTGTATGGTTTAATTGCGTTTATTCCTCCAAACCTCCTAATTAAATCTATATTACTAAAGAATTCATCAATTTCATTGTCATATGACTTTCTGGAAATCTTCTGGTAAAAGTGTATAGGAAATCTTGCTTGGTGTCGCATAAAGAATTTTAGCTGTAATTGAAACTTTGTATATCCCTTATCCTTATGTTCTTCAACAAAAAACTTTTCAAGGTCTCTTGTTATACAGCATTGATTGCAGTATACATTATATTCACTTATTTTATTACATACATTTGCTGGTAGTATATGATGCAAGGTTAAACTCAAATCATTCATTTTGCATTTACAGCATTCGCACTTGTTATAGTTAAACAACATTTCACTAATATTATAAGGCGTTTTTTCTTTAACTGTATTTCGTTTAATATTAAACTTTCAATAATTCGTGTCTCAAATAAGGACTAGTTTTTCCTTCCAAATGAAAGTAAGATTGCCCTAATTTACTATCAATTGATTTTACTTTAAATACTTCTTTTAACCAATGACTGGTATGTGCCTTTTCGCTTATGCCTTTCTTCCTCATTATTTTTACATTACTACCCACTGACAACTCAGGGTATTTTCTAGTATTTCTTGCTTGCATTGTAATATTCATTTTTACCTCAAATTCATTCTTTTTTAATCTTGCCTGTGCTGGAACAAAGCGGGTGGCAGAATGCACCATCTTATTATTGTAAGTTAATAATATTTCAAAAATATAATCCGTCCATTGGATATTATGCTTTCCATTTTTCTTGTCCGCTTCAACTCGTTTAAACAGTTGATCTTTAAAAGTCTGAATTCCACGCTCCGCAAATGCTGGATGACCTCTAGTTCTATGTAATTCAATTTTCTCCTCCTTCAAATAATCTAATACTGATTGATTAAAAAAACTGCCTTCCTCGTCGGTATAAATTAATTTCGGTTTGCCACCCATCTTATTGATATTCTCCATCATTCCTGCTAAAATGTCTGGCGGTGTCTTGGATTTAATTGGCACGATATGCATATATTTGCTAAAAATATCAATGCATATCATTCCAATTCTAAATGTTTGATTTTCCAAATCATTTTTAGAAATGAAAAACATATCAACTTGAAATTCCCAGAAACTATGCGGAGCAATAAAACTATTTTCACCTCTCATCTTTCTTTTTTCTTCTACATTCTTACTAAAGAATTCATTAATATCGTTTATTGTAATACTACTATCTTTTTGCTTAGCATCCTTGAGGGTTGTTTGTTTTGAACCATAACCGCTTCTATCATAATATACACTCTTAATAATTTCTTGTGTTGAACTCATTAATTAATTTAATAAAATAATTTTGAAAAACTCATTTTCAAAATTATTCATGACGCGCTGCAATTGCAATAGACAAAAGGCGGTGCAGTTTTCAACTGTGTGGCATAACTCATTATCACAACGTTGAGCAGTGAAGTTAGAACTTAATTTTCCTCCTCTTGTATCTAGATTAAATTTAATTCCGCAGTTTTGGCAACAGGATTTGAAGTATTTTAAGCACCAGTTTTCGTCAATGTATTGCTGTTCGTCTATTTCTCTTTTTGCTACTCTATCTTGCTGTTTATATCCTTCAACTTTGTTTTTAAAATAGTTGATTACCAAACTCTTAAACATATCTTCATCTCCCTCTTTGTTCTTGTAAAAATAGACATTGTTAAAATCCCTCGCTCGTGTGATACTCGTCCACAACCATTCCCTACAAACTAAATAATCTTTGTTCCATTCGTGAATGGTCATATTATCACTGATTGATGTCCCCTGTCTGCTATGAGTGGTAGCACAGTAGGCATATCTAAAATGCTTATCTACAATATCAATGTCAAGTGTTCTAATGTTCTCTGCATCCTTAATATCTTGTATTGTTATCTTGTATCCTTCGTTATTAACAACCTTCCACCTAATATTAACATTCAGTTTTCCTTCCTTGTCCTTTTTGTAAAGTCTGCATATTAAGATTTCTCCAATTTCATATTTGCATGTTTTACCTAATCTTTTTCTAATCTCATTGGATACTGCCTCACATCTAATATTTGTATATGCTATGTTGTTTTCACTATTCATAACATCTTTAGTAAATTTGAAATGCTTAACTATCCATTCTTCAACTGCCATCTTTTTAATCCAAAAGTCATCATAGATTTCATTCAGTTTCTTTCTGTTTCTTTCTCCTTCTTCTGTATCCTTACCACCTACTCGCTTACATATCTTTAAAAATATATTATATTCAAAAATAATGTCAATACATTTGTCAATGTATTCGCCTGCATTTTGAGTATTAGTGAAAGGTTCAATCGGTGGCAGTTGCTTGACATCACCGGCACCTATAATTACGATGTCAGGATTGTTATTTGCAAACACCCTTATTTTGTTCAATATGTAAGGACTGGACATATAAATCTCATCAAACACTATACAATCAACATCTGAATAATCAAACTTTGGTAGGTCATCCCCTTTATCAACTGGAATGCTAAAGAATGTATTTACTGTCACCGCTTCGCATTCAATCTCTTGTTTTAACATATTTTGAGGCACTACAAAAAGTGTATTGTATCCTAAATTTTCCATATACTTGCCTATAAAACTTTTACCGCTCCCAGCAAATGTTGCTCTAATCATAACTCTTCTTTTTTCAATAATCCTATTACAGATGCTTTCAACATCCCACTCATCTTCAATCGGTATTGTTTCATTCTGAAAAGTTGGTATTTTTACTAACTCATTAAATTTCCAATTGTAATCAGTTTCCAGTTCATAGACTTTATTATTTTCTACTCTCCAACCTCCAATATCATTATGAAAATCTAACAACTTCTTTGCCTTCCTTACATCTTTCTTTGCAATATGAAAGGCATCGGTTTTCACCGCATAAACTTTAATACTATTTGCTTTAAGTTTTTCGTATGCTTCATACATTGCAAAATTATGACCCTGAAGTAGGAGTTCTTTAATCGGTCTAAATCCGTTCATTAGTTTTCTTTGGTCGGTAAGACAA